GAAAACTGTAGCACTGGATTTAGAAACCAAAATGGCTTATGCGTTGATATTGATGAATGTACCGAAAAAACAAATGCCTGTGATAAGAGGGCAACCTGTTCCAATACACTTGGTGGTTACGAATGCAGATGTGATGAAGGATTTGCAGGCGATGGCCAAACATGTTCGCGTAAGTTTCGTTCTATGCTGTTTTTGGGCAACAAATCCGAACGAATATATCCGATGTAAATATTGCAATTTTTAGCCAAATACGATTGCAGTCAACAGGAAGGTATCTGCGATCGCCATGCATTTTGTCTTGGATCATTACGGATGTGTATTTGCCATTCCGGATATGTCGGGGACGGTTTAAACTGTTACGGTAAATAAAACTACTTTTACTTTCAATATGCATTAGAACTTTTACCAAATTCTTGACACCGTAATCTTAATTTTTTTTTTTTTCATTTCATCTCTTACGTTTATTTTGCAAGCAAACATCGTTTGTAGATATCGATGAATGTGAGAGTAAAGATAATTTGTGCAAAGAAAGCTCATCTGAACGTTGTGTAAATCTTGATGGAGGATACGTCTGTTGTGCCAGTAACACAACTGATGCTCAGTGCATACGAGGTAGTAACCGGCTAATAAGATACGGTGTTTTAGTAATATTTCTGTTTTCTGATGTTAATAAGTAGATTTTCATAGAAACCACTAATTGATTTCTTGTCTTACAGACAAAGGTGTTTTTTGTTCGGGAGGCTGTGGAAGAAATGCTATTTGCTATAATGAGACCTGTAGATGTATGGAAGGCTACAAAGGAGATCCAAAAGTAAAATGCGTAGGTAATGGCCAACTTAAATAATAGTCATCACCCAAATTTTCATTGTCACCTGTCATCTGCAACTGCGCAGATATTTCTTTTGTGCAGTTTCGCTGTCACCAAGTGCCATAATATTGTTAATAATCAAGTTCTGATGGAGAATATCTTATTATTCGTCATTTCAGTTAAGACTAATTCGCTTTCCAAAAAAGAAAGTAACGGTTTTTGAAAATAACTTGCAGAACGAGGACAGGAATTTATAATTCTGAAATATTATATATGCTCAAGTTACCAGCAATTTTTAGACATCAATGAATGTGAAAATGACAAACAGTGCCCAGGAGTTGGAGAATGGTGTGTGAATTTAAAAGGTGGCTATACGTGTTGCGGTTCTGAATCCAAGAATACAGAATGTTTCGCAAAAAGTTTAATTAATGTACAGGAAAAGAGGGGTAGTGGAAGTGTACAAAGAAGTGAAGGTAATAACTAGAATTATCGATAGGTTTAGTAGAATTGAAACAAAAAAAATTCTTTTTGAAAAGTTGAAGCATTGATCCTTCTTTGAAATTAGTCCTCCTTAAAAACACTGTTGTTTCACTTCTATCAAAAGAAATTGAGGACTTAACTCATAAGGACAATTTAGGAAGCTCACGCGAATCATCGTCCGGTGGTTTCATTAAGAAAAATGATAATTTGGGCCTAGGATTTTTAGTTAGCCTACCATGCGATAAAGGTTGTCCAACCGATTCACATTGTAATGGTGACTTATGCCAATGCAACGAAGGGTTTGTAGGGAATCCTGTCAAGGGATGTGAAGGTATAAGAAAAAAGAACGATAAAACGTAACTTATGACTAAATGTTTTGAAAATCTTCATGTGGTAAACGTTCCCTTTACAGTTACAATAGACCTTTTCAAAAGCGCCATACAGAGAAAAAAATCTCTTTTCCTCAGGAATAAATTTAATTTCTGATCAGTTTTAAAAAAATCAAGCTAACAACGATGTTAGCTTCAGATGACCTTTAGTTTTTGAAGAAAATGTTACAAGCTTCAGATGACCTTTAGTTTTTGAAGGAAATGTTACATGCCTAGAAATGATTAAAGTAAAGCTCATTGCAGATATCAATGAATGTGAAAGAAACCCATGCAGAAATTCAGATGAAAAATGTATCAATACCCGTGGTAGTTTCTTATGCTGTGCACCAGACTCTAATAAACCTTACTGCACTGAAGCTCAAAGTACAGGTAGCCATAAGAACGAAAAATAAAACGATAAAATGCTTTCAAACAGTAAATTAGAAAGCAATTTTTACAGGTACTGGAGGTGAGTTTGACTTTCATACAAACTCAGAAAATAGAAGTGAAGCGGGGTCATGGACTATTAAAACGGTTGGAGAATGGAAAAATTCATCTGGTGGAGCTCTGATTATTGGCAGGAAAAAGATGAACGACAGGGAGAAAGAAGATGAAACCACTACTACAGAACAAGAAGAAGAAGGCGATTACGAAGGGGGCAATCAACAACTTGGTTTAGAGATTTCCAATGGTGGCTTTGTTGGCGGTAAAAGCGGTGGTTATAAAATTGAAGTTATTAATGGAATTTTGCAGACAACTCCAGGTGCAGACAAACCCGGCATAGATATTTATCCGGAAGATTCAAGTGAGTTAACTTAAAATTTAATCCTTGAAATTGCCTTCAAATCTCTGTCGCAGTTTTTCGATCCTTAACAATACTACATATCTTTAACACAGCTAACACGAATGTTCACAAGATCTCCAATTTACAGCTTTGTCAGTCGCCGATGAAGAAAAAGCAATAGGAAAAAGACCTCAAAATGAAACGACCACTACAACAGTCAGCCCTATGGGCATCACCACCAGCGATGTTCTAGGAAAAATTGGAAATTCGAAAGCAGGTGAACAAGGAGAGAACAGAGAAAGTTCTGGCAGTACGGCAAAATCAAAAAATGCAGAAACAGAAACTTCGAAACTTAACAGGCCTCACATTGTGGCTGGTGATACTAAGGAAGCCATTATACCAAAGAAAGAACATCATACTCCAAAAGCGGTAAAAGTTTCTGGAGATGTTACACAGTTGGAAAGCTATAACGAAACTTCAGCTGCTCACAGCCCTGGAACAAATGGAAGTGCCAGTCAACCAATCCCTAAAGAGTGCCTCTATTATCTTGAGAAGACAACCACGACTACAACCACGCAAAAACCAAACTGTGTTAATGTAGAATCGACTGGGTCAGCAGGTGAAAAATTGGTAAATACGGCAGAAATCCGGTCATCAACGGAAGCGCCTAAAGACAGTCAGCAAACAATTACTGGCACACAAGAAAAAAACGAAGGAAGTACGTCAGAATATAGCACTTCTGTACCTGTAGTACAAGACAAGTCGATGTCATTTAGTAAACCAGCAACTTCTGAGCTTACAAATACTGAAACAACATTAAAATCGGACCTCAGAGTAACTTCTGATAATCCCAGTATAACAACCACAATCGTACCATCTTCTGCCGGTGTAACATTAACCAGTGAGAATAGTTCAGAAGAAAGCACAACCCAAAAGTCTATAAATCTTGAAAATGAACCTACTGAAAAAACAGCTACTAAATACTTCTCAGCGTCAGAGAGCGAGCGCAAGAGCACAAGTCCTGGTGAAGAATCATTTACTAAAACTACCACAATCTTTCAGAAAACGTCGGCTACTCTATTCCCGACAACGCAGGGGAGGCTTGTGGATAACACAGAAACTGTAACCCCGAACATACTAGTCAGTCCGGAAGCAGTTAAAAACACAGGTCCCGCAGAAACTCACTCCGAATCAACTATAGGTCCATTAATTTCAACTGAACTTTCTACTACTAGCTACGTCAGAGAGCCAATTACTGAGACTAACAGCGCTTCTACAGCAAATAAGCTAGAACCGTTCTTGACTGCTGGTAACACACATTTAAAACTGACCACGATGGCGTATACTACAGAAGGACTGAGTCAAAACGAAAACCACCGTGAGCCAGAAAATCTTTTACCTACAATGAAAACAATTTCAGTAGGCACAGAGGAAAGGAAAGAGTCAACAACGCCATTTGATAGAAAAGAAGATTTGTCTTCTGAAGTTACAGGAAACAAACATGAGAACGGGTTTACCAATTCGCCCCGTCAAGAAACGAAGGAATCTGCTTGGGATGGGACTACAGCACAGGGAGAGGTAGCTAGAACAAAACCAATAACCAACACTGCCTCAAAACCTCCAGATCTCAGCGCATTTACTGCGCCGTCACAGCCAACACAGAAAGAAGTGATTGTAACACAAGAAGTTACAACAACTTTAGCGAGTGAAAATGCAAGTAGGGAACGAATTACAGCCACAACAGAGTCAATAACAGGTAGTGGTCCCACTTCAGTATATGATGAGTCTGGAAAGAAAAAAATCCAAACCACATCCAGTGGCGATACAAATTTAAAGACTTCAACCTTGTCTAGCGTTACAATTGCTGGTGAACCGCAAAGTCTCTCAACCGAAAAAACGCGGGTGGAGTCAACTTTCTACAGCACGACAGGCGAAACAATAACTTCGCTAGTTACAGAAAGGCCGGAAATTGAACATACAGTACCAAAAAGTACAGAAGACTTAACAGACGAATATCCTGAGGTCACATCTTCCACAGAACCCACTTCATCGGGCGAAGTTACATCTGTAAATGAGCAGGTGGCAAAAACGGGCCTTTCTGAAATCACAGCTATACAGCCCGGATATTCTTCCCCTCCTCAGCGAATGGAAACTATGCCAAATGACAAAGAAGAGAATGTAGAAAAGACACATGAATATACCCTTTCTACTTACCCCGCTTCATCTTCTGAAAGTTCAGCTGAAAATGATCGGACAAAATCTGTCTCTGAAAAATCAACGACTCTACCTACTTCAGATAGACCTGCAGGAACTGACGAGCAAGCAGTATTTTCATCGGGCAGTGAAGGAAGCACAAGCCCATCAGTATACTCTCCATCATTGCCAACAGAAAACCCAGAAACCACTTTTTATCGACAACCGTCTGAAACGGTTGGGGAACTTGTAGGAGATGGAACCAGAAATTCAGAAGTTGAAAATACAACGCGAAAAGAAGGCTTATCTGGCGGAGAAGAAACAATACCTGACAGAACTACTCTGGTAAGTGAAAAAGAAGAGACTAAAGTGCAAGAGGTATCAACATATTCAACGGCTACGGGGTCGCCATTAGCGGAAATAACTAGACACCCAGAGGTCACATCAAAGATGCGCACCGAAGAATCGTACACAGTCAGGCGTGATGAGGGGACTGAAGGGGAGGGAACAGTAGAAAGTCTGGAATATAGTAGGGGATCAACAACCGCATCAGCCACTCATCACGAAACTCAAGTGATGGACAAACAACAAAATACGACTGGGGAACTCTCCACTCCAGAGAAACTGCCTGAGCAGAAAGGTCTTGTAACTGCAGGATCTGTACTTGAACAGGATAAAATGACCACATTATCGGCAACCACCGAAACGTCAGTAATAGAGAAAACTCTTGAGGCACAAGCAACGCGCGGCGGCGTAACTGACGAACTGCTTACACCAGAACAAACGTTCACCACCCTGTTTGGCCAAACATCTGAAAATTTGAAATCTGAAACAAGGGAAGCAACACCACTGCCGGCTTCGAAAACAGTTTCAATTACAGAAAAAGGTGAAGTCGCAGGAAATACAGTTGAAACTACTCAGCATGGAGCGGAAAAAACAACCCCATCACAAACGATTGAGAAAGTGGCAACGCCCACAACTGAAGTCCCAGAAATCGCAATCGGAACTTCTCAATTTGGAACAGAAATGACCCCAAAACAAACGTTTGGGGTGTCTGCGACAGTTAAGCCAGCAGCCTCAGAAACTACAACTGAATCTTCTCAATTTAAAACTTCAGAAACTACGGTTGAAAGCTCTCATCCTGAAGCAGAAAACACAAAGTTACCAGAAATTCTTGAGGAAATGACTGCTACAACGAAACTGGAAGCTTCAGGAACTTCAGTTGAATCTTCCCAACCTGAAGCAAAGAAAATAACTTCGTCGCAAGTGTCTGAATTTTCTGGAACAACCGAGCTAGAAACCTCGGGAACTACGGTTGGGATTCATCATCCTGAAGCAGAAGAAAAAACTTTACCACGAGTGCCTGAGGTGTCTATGACAGTTACGCCGGAAGCTACAGAAACTCCAGTCGGAACTTCACAGCCTGAAGCAGAGAAAACTACTCCACCGCAACTGCCTGAATTGTCTGTAACAGTTACACCAGAAGTTCCAGAAAGTACAGTCAGGACCTCTTCACCTGCAGCTCCAGAAACTTCAATCGGAATTTCACAAACGGAATCAGAAGAAACTACTCCACTTCAATTTACTGAGATATCTATAACAGCCAAATCAGAAGTTTCGGAAGCCACAGTCAGAACCTCCGCACCTGCAACTTCAGAAACTACAACGGGAATCTCTCAGCCTGAATTAGAAGAAACTACTTCACCACTACTGTCTAAGCTGTCTGTGACAGTTACGCCGGAAGTTCCAGAAACTACAATCGGGACCTCTTCACCTGCAGCTCCAGAAACTACGGTCGAAATTTCAAAACCTGAAGCAGAAGAAACTACTCCACCTCAATTTACTGACATACCTGTAACAGCTAAATCAGAAGTTCCAGAAAATACAGTTGGAACTTCCTCATCTGCAGCTTTAGAAACTACAATAGGGATTACTGAACCTGAAGCAGAAAAAACTACTTTACCACAATTTTCTGAAGTACCTGTAACAGGTAAGTCTGCAGTCCCAGAAAGTACAGTTGGAATTTCTCAACCTGAAGTAGAAAAAACGATTCCATTAGACGTTTTCAAAGAAGCATCAACAACAACTAGTCCTGAAGCTCCAGACATTATAGTCAGAACTTCTGAAAATCAAGTGGAAGAAACAACCCTTTCTCCAACGTCTGAGAAGACGTCAGTTACCGAAGAAGCTGCTGGGCCGGACACGACAGTCAAGTTAGAAACTGAGGAGTTGTTTGCTTCTGGAAGCCAATCACCTTTTGGAGTTAGCTCGACTGGTTCAACTGAAGAACCTGGAAAACTTATAACAGCTACCCAACCGGCATCTTCCGTAAATATAAAGTCAACTGTTCCAACTGTCAAGACAATTCCAACCTACGATGAACGCTCCGGAGCACATGAGACTTCTCTGCCTGGTCGAATTACTGAGGACCAACAATCTCAACGTACAGATAGCAGATCTACCGTTCCTGCTACAGAAACTCTTTTTGTTCCAATAGATTCAGAAAAATCACCTGATTCAGGTTACAAGCCGGACCAGTTGCCCGGGACTAGTAAAACGTCTGGTAACTGTTCAACACCTACTGAAGGTGCGAGTGAACGCTCTACAGCACCTGTACCTGTAGCAACAGTACCTTCAATGCAAAGCAATACTTCGACAACCGGCATTACTAGAGGCGTTGAGCAAGAGGTCACGTTGCCTAACAAGAATACTGAAGGAACTACACTTGAGGTATGCACTATTAATTTAGTATTATGTAATAAAACTAGTTAGGTTTATTGTTTGTATGCTAGAAAATTGGTTTTGAAGTTAAAATTTCCTAGCCATCCACCTCTGAAAATGATATTTTGTAAGTTAACTGAGAACATTTGTTGCAGGAAGCCGCTCTACCAACAACAACAACTATAGACCAGGGACTTCTGGTAGGATCACTCGAGCCGAGAATTACTTCGCAAGGCAACACTTCTGCCACGGTTTACAGTAGTCAGACGGCCAATGGAAGTCGATGCTACAGCAGCGACGAATGCACACAAGATGCTTATTGTGAAAGACGTTCAGGAGTCTGTCGCTGTTACCCGGGTTTTGTTGGTGCTCCACCACAAGTACCTTGTATTGGTATGCTGTTGGCTAGTCACTTTTTTATGCTGGATTTATAGTTTTTTATTTCAGTTCAATGTTTTTACTTTTTTTTTAACAACAGATGTTGATGAATGCGCGCGACGTCTCGATAGCTGCGACCCAACATCGCGTTGTTGGAACTTTGTTGGAGGATACACATGCCTCTGCAATATAGGTTATAGGAAGTTATCGAACGGAAAGTGTATTGACATCGATGAGTGTATGGAAAGAAGAAATGACCTGTGCCATCCAGACGCTTTTTGTACAAATCTCCCCGGTTCATATATTTGCAAATGCAAAGCAGGTTATATAGGTATGTTGCTACTAAGATTAAATTGGCTGCTATCGAAGATTCAAAAATTTGTTTTCAATGCAGGTAGTATGTGATGATTTAGGGGATGGCTATACGTGTATTCCGGTGGAGAAACGACACTGTACACCAAGTGAGCTGGAGAAGTATGACTGCGGGCGAAATCATTTGTGTTTGGTAAATGCTACTGGACATGGTGATTGTGATACCTGTAAGAAGGGCTACGAAATGAAGCATGGTGTATGCTCAGGTTAGGTTCAGATTTGGTTTACTCCATCAGGAATCTGAACTTGTTAGGTTGCTCAGAAATTATTTTTTAAAAAAAATTTACTCAAGTTGTCCTTCTTCGGGCGGGGTTTTCGCTGTTACGAATTTTTTTCTGGTGTTTTAAACTGCTGGAAGTGAGCTAATTTCACTAATAAAAACTTATCTTTATGTTACATTTTTAGACATTGATGAATGCAGCAATCGGAAACTGAATGCTTGTCATGATTTTGCGTTCTGTAGCAACATTATGGGATCTTACACGTGTCAATGTCGGGATGGATTTCGTGGTGATGGCTTTTTATGCACTGGTAAGCTCACTCCTTGACGAGTTTTGTTCGTTATTTTATCGACAGTTGTTCGCTATTCAGTTTTAAAACCGTTCATCAAATGAGTTTACAGATATTGATGAATGCCAGCAAAACCCTTGCCATCCCCAGGCATCCTGTATTAACACACCCGGTTCTTATATGTGCAAGTGCCCGTCTGGTTGGACTGGAGACGGCGTTAAAAATTGTATCAATTGGTTGGATACGACTTGTGAGGTGAAAACCCACCAAATTTGTTCCTTTGATTTACATTACACAGCGAAGTTACTATATTTCTTTTTTTGACATACCAGCGCGGTGATCAATGAAAATTTTTAGAAAAAAGAGATAGCATGCGGGAGAGCAAGCCATACTTCATGTCTTTCTGTTCGTATGGATAAGCTGGTTTCAGTGTGTGAATGTGACGCTAACTTCCGGTATAATGCGGAAAAAAACACTTGCGAAGGTTTGATAATTAGCGACGAATGATTTTAGTTGCCGCTCTCATAATGTTTATTAAGCAGATTTTCAGATATTGACGAATGCTCTGAAAATCGACATAACTGTGATCCGTCAAATTCGATTTGCGTCAATACAGTCGGTGGCTTTTACTGCGAATGCGCTCCAGGGTATGAAGGTGTTGGTGGTGTTTGCGTAGGTATGATTATAGTTTTATTCAGCGTATCGTTTTATCTGTTTCGATGAATAAATTCATTGCTGGTGTTTTAAGTCATAGAAATCTTTGTTCTAGACGTTGACGAGTGCTCGAGAGATCTTGGTGGTTGTTGCATTACAGCCAACTGCGAAAATCACATTGGAAGTGTTGGTTGTAAATGTGCTATTGGTTTTATTGGCAATGGTGTTGAGTGTAGACGTAGGTTACTTTGTGATTTAAAGTAGATGTACTTTTTAAATGTAGACTAGGTTTTTGTTTTTCACGCATTTGGGTATCTGAAAAAAAAAAACAATTATTCGAAGATTTGTTTGAAATTTTTTTACGTATAAGACTTCAGTTATTTTCCCGATTTCTCCTACAAGAGTTGGTTGTAATGAAGAATGGACCAAGCTCTGCTACAGCCAAAATAAAACCTGCCATGTTGACGACGAGGAAATACCACAATGTGGCTCGTGTTTGGTGGGTCACCAACCTTTGAATGGCAAATGCTTGCGTAAGAGTTTATTTGTTGAATAATTTGGGTTTATTTATTTTACTAACTATTTTTAGTTGGCGTTAAGTAATCTCCTCTGACTTTTAGCTCTAAGCGGTTTGGGTAACTGTGCCGATCCACAGAAGAATGATTGTGACTCTAATGCTGAATGTGTTGATTTGCATCCAGGACGCCATTACTGTGTCTGTAAAGTAGGGTATATTGGAGATGGCAGACACTGTGATGGTAAAACCCTATTCTTGTTAGATAATTAGTTCCTAGATGGGTAAAGGTGGAGGGAAGAGGAGAATTATTATTTATTATATAATTTGGTTGATATGGTCGAAATATAAAACTTCATATTTAACTGTGTCTTTCACTCTTTTAAGCATATTGAAGTTTTTATAGAACGAATGTATTTATTTGGGGACTGTCGCAAAACTTTTTTGCAGTTATTCAATTTCAGGTCCAAATTGCCATTTGGACGTATCAATGTGTCACAAAAATGCTTACTGTAAGATCGACGGGAAATGCCACTGCAATGACGGTTACGAAGGAGATGGTATTACCAGTTGTAAATGTACGGTTTTTCTAGATAATGAACTGAAATATCTTCCTATTTACAGTAATTACTGTGAGGGTGTCTGAAAAAATTTCTGCGATCAATTTTTTGGTGGGCAGTACAAATGGATATACTATAACATTTACTTTTTAGTTGCTTATAATTAGTAATAGCAGAAAAACATTTGTTGCTTATAAGTTGCAATACATTTAGCAACCGGAAATGAAAAAACGGATTCTAACCAATCCGGAGTTGGTATTCCTGGTACTGAGACAAATTTACCGACTGATCAAAAAAGTTCCAAACACACGCTCATTGAAGGCGCTAATTGTACAACAAATGCTACCGCAGTTGGCAAAACGTATTCGGGAAGTACTGTAGAATCATCCTCTGGAAAACCATCACAGTATACATCTGTTACAGTAGAACCAGATGTGCTGCAAGGCGTGAACTTGAAACCTACAGAAAAGAATGACACATCAAAGTCACAGTCGAGTGTTATTCAGAGATGCACTGCAACCGATCACTCTCCATGCCACATATTAGCTCACTGCGATATCCCATCTGGATTGTGTGTCTGTAAACCAGGTTATTATGGAGATGGTTACTTCACATGCACGTTAGTGTTTCTAATATGTATTTATAGCCGAGCTGTAGTAGTTTAATTCTTTGCTTTTTCAGATAAGGGTTGTGAAGTTTTTAAAATAGCTTATTTTATAAAAAACGAAGGCGCTTAAAGTGATATTCACAGGAGGTAGAAAATTGCTCTATTTAGGAAGGATTGGCAAGACTGTACTATCGACAGTACAATCTGCGATATGCGCGCTATTTGTGATCTCAGCACTCGAAGATGTCGATGTATTGAGGGTTATATCGGTGACGGAGTTGCTTGTGAACCTGATGCCTTGGTACCAATTGTTTACTGTTTCTCGTGTTTATCAGTTGAAGCAAGGAACGATCTGATATTTTTGTTTTATATTTTAGGACTGTATGCTGAGGCAAAATCTGTGCAGCGACAATGCAAACTGTATTGGAAGGCGATGTATTTGTGCTGAAGGATTTACAGGTAGACTATTGATAATTTTTTGCTTTTAAGGTCTAGTTTAGTCGATTGAAAAATAATTCTTCGTCAAAAAATCTTTTACTTTTTCTTTATTTATAATAATGGTTGATTGTTTATTTTATCTAAATTCAGTGCTGTGCGTCTTTTCTGTCAGGCCTCTTGACAGGCTTTAAGTGATTAAATTATAGGCGACGGAACTTCATGTTTTCCAATGAAGAATGTGACGGACTGTTCTTTATGTGACGCAAATGCTGACTGTGTGGACGGTGTTTGCCAATGCCTACCAGTTCGTACTAATTTTTATTTAGTCGCTTAAAACTTCTTTTGAAACTTTTTGTTTAGGGCTACCTAGGGAATGGAGCAAAATGTATCGCCGACTCAAATGACTGTATTCGTTTCCCTGGAATCTGTCATCGAAATGGAGAATGTGATAAACAGGAGCGTCGTTGTAAATGCCTACCAGGTTTCAGTAATAAAATTTTTATTCAACCATCTTTCTAGAATGCTTCAAAATGCTATTTGTTACATTACTGCAGGTTTTCGAGGGGATGGTATTGATTGTTCCCAATCACAGAGTTGTCTTCAGAATAAGAATGTTTGCCATGAGAACGCTGAATGCCTCTCAACTGGAGTGTGTCAGTGCAAACGTGGTTTCATTGGTGACGGTACTTTCTGCAATGCAGGTACTTCTGTCATAGCTATATCACTATGAACACATAAAATACTAGTGGAACTTATAGAGAGAAACTTTTTGTGCTAATAACTTTAAAGGAAATCTCACAACTTGCCAGAAAATAAAGACTTTCCTGTTTATTTTTTTATCGTTTTCACTAACTTTTAATTTTTAGCTATTCTTGTAAGTTCAGAGGGAGGTAATGCATATCCTAAGTCAGGAAATTCGGAGTGTAAGGATAAATGTGGTTCAAATTCTGTTTGTTATAACGGAAGCTGTATTTGTTCGCCTGGGTATCATAAGGATAAAGCGAACGTTTGTGTTGGTAAGCCACATGTGTCGAATATTTTTCCGTAAATAAACATACTGTAACTGGATTAATATAGTGAATGTTTTTTTTTTTTTTTTAAAGTCACGTAAACCTTTTTTAGCAAGGCCTGAAGACCGTGATTAATCGTTTTGGTCTGTCTTTGACTTAGATATCGGAATAAAGTGTCTTCTGTGAATGTTGATTTCAGTAAAGTCTCTTCCATTTTGTACTAACCATTGTTTGTTTTGCAGATGTGGATGAATGCGCTCTTGGTGGTTATTGCAACCCCTCTGCCAAATGTGTTAATCTTCCCGGTTCCTATTACTGTCTCTGCGCTCATGCAAATGGCGAGAAAAACTGCAGCGCTGAAGCGATAAGTTTTGGCGGCATGAAAGGTAGACACTGTCTGAAAATTGGAATTTAAACTTAATAAATTTTCTAATATTTTTAGTTTTAATAATTTACAAAACTGTGTACTTATTTCTTCGTAGTGTAGCGGAATGACACCTTTTGTAGTTGATTGTGGTACCGATGGAATGACTCTGTTCTTGGAGGCCGATATGGCGCGCGTTGATGGTCGCATATTTGTTAGGGGACAAACAGAAAACCCATTTTGTTCAAAAAAACTGAGTCCTCTTTTGAACTCGTCGGATTCTACATTTAAAGTTCTTTATTCGCATTGCAACGTTCGCTACGAGGAACCGGTATGCGTTTACAACAGTCACTGCATCAGTTACTGCGCATAGCATTTTGAAGAAACACTGATGAAAGTAATTTGTTTAGTAGTTCGAGCTGATGTTTTTTCTAGAACACCTTCTCGGTTACAGTAGTAATCCAGCGTCACCCGATGTTTATCACTCATTCTGCAGAGGCATATGAATTAAAATGTTCATATCCAGTTGGAACTCTACAGGTTGGTTTGAATGGATTGCAGGTCTTTTTTCTATTGTATCGAGGTACCGGTTCGTTGACTGCTATTTTAGGCAAGCAGCAATCTGAATGTTTCTGAATTAGCAACTTCAAATTCGATTGTTGAACATGGGTCGGGTGCCACTTGCGAGTTAACAGTCACGAACGAGAATAACGTTGTTATCGATACTGCGTCTGTTGGACAAATTCTTCGCCTGGCTCTTTCTGTAAAACCGAACGGTAAGAGTCTTAGAAGTCTTGATTGCATTTGACCTAGACTTTAACAAAGTTATGCTTAACTATTACAATGGTGGTAACTTGATATCTCACTAAAGTGACTCGATTTAAGACACTTATGGCATTCTTCCTCGAAACTGTTATGCTGTTAATCTTGAGACTGGTGAACGTTATTCTCTAACTGACAAAGCTGGATGCTCGGTTGACACGCAGTTGTTTCCGGAGTGGACCTATGAGAATTCGTCACTTACAACTGTCACTTTTAAAACCTTTAAGTGGCCTGATAGTTCAATGATAAGATTCCAGTGTGACTGTTCTGCATGCGTTGGGCCGTGTCCAAAAGTAGGATTAAAGATTTATAAATGTGAAAAGCAGTTTTGTTTTTTATGGTTTTTTTCACTCTACATTGCTCTTCAAATGTTTAGGTGAACTGCGGTCGCCGACGTGAAGCTATCTTGCGTAGATTTAGGTTTAGGTATATACGTAACACAAAAGACGATTCAGAATATGATGACGACATTCATGGTTTAGTTATAAATAAAGAAGCTGGAGCTTTCTCACCACCTCTTCATATTGATGAGGATGAAGAGGAAAAGTTGGCAGAAAAGGAAATGGATAACTGGAAATATCAAGGTGGTTGAAGATTAGTGCAAACTTGATTAGATTCGCTCTTTTTTTTTTTGAAAAAGCTGATATATATATATATATATATATATATATAT